TTTCTTTCTTTCTTTCTTTCTTTCTTTCTTTCTTTCTTTCTTTCTTTCTCTTGCTTTCTTTCCTTTCTTGCTTCCTTGCTTTCTTGCTTTCTCAATGCGTTTTCTGATCTTAATAGACATTGGTTCTTATATTTTCAGGCAAATCATGTTTTGTAACTATATTCCAAAGAGCAAGAGATACAGATAAAATCAAAGGTTATTCTAGGTTAGGCACTTTGTGTGACTGTTGTAGAGTATATAAATCCAACTGAGACTCTGCTACTGGCTTGTAAAGAACTTCCTTTTATATAGATGGTATTACAACACACACACAAACACAAATGCACAGGGACACACACACACACACAGAGGACATATGATGCTTTTTTCCTCCCTAGTCTCTAATGTGGAAGGAAAAGTAGAAAAAAAAAGGAAGACAAGATAGCAATGATGTTTTGCTGTTTCATAGAGATGTAGTGATCATGTGAAATTTCCTTCCTTGTATATTAATATCCACTGCTATTGCCATTGATCTAGGGTTGTGTATTTCAGTAATACTAGGAGAGTATGTTTCAGTGTGGACGTTCACTTCCTAGTATTCTGACTGTTAACAATCATGGTGATCTCCCTTTCATCATATTCTATGAACTTTAGGTATAGGAACTATGTTGTAGATGTGTCTATTGGGGATGGATTTTCTGACCTTTTGATATATGCATTGTGCCAGGCTGTGCTTTTCTGTGATGGATATCTGTTATGTAGATGCCTATGAAGTGTGGTAGCCATGCTGTGATGATTTGAATGTAAAAAGACCCTATAGGCTCATATATTTTAATTCTGGGTCACCAGGGAATGGCACTATTATGGGTGTGTGGCCTTTTTGAGTAGCTATGGTCTTGTTGGAGGTAGTGTGTTACTTTGTGTGGATTTTGGTGTTTCAAGTGCTCAAGGCTGACCCAGAGTCTCTCTCTCTCTCTTCCTTCTACCTGTGGATCCAGATGTAGAAGTCTCAGATACTCTCTAGCACCATGTCTGCCTGCAAGCCACCATGCTTCCCATTGCGAAGACACTGGACTAAATTTGTCAACTGTAAGCACGTCTCAATCAAATACTTTTCTTTACAAGAGCTTCCATGGTCAGAGTGTCACTTTACAGCAATAGAACTTTGACTAAGCCACATACATATGAATATGAGTATTAGATTTAGAATGTAGTAAGGAAGTGTGCTAATCTAGGAAAGTTAAAGTAGTAGATTTCTTTCTAAGGTCAATGATGTCAGTAGCCACAAAGCTGGCTATGTGTTCAGTACCAGTCATGCTTTTCTTCCAGCACAATATATTTGTGCTGACTGATTTTATGTCTACTTGACATACAAACCACAGTTATCTGAAAGGAGGGAGCTTCTATTGAAAAAAAAATGCCTTGATAAGATCCAACTCTGTGGCATTTCCTTAATTAGTGATTAATAGGTAGAGGGCCCAGCCTGTCTTGGGTGGTGTCATTTTTGGTCTGTTGGTCCTGTGTTTTCTAAGAAAGCTGTCTGAGCAAGCCATGGGGAGCAGGCCAGTAAGCAGCACCTGTCAGTATCTCTTTATCAACTCTTGCCTTATTGGAATTCCTGTCCTGACTTTCTTCAGTCATGAACAGAGATATAGAAGTATTTCTTCCCTACTTTCTTTCAGTCATGATGTTTCATCATAGTAATAGAAACCCTAAGACAATCTATTTTCAAATGTTTGTCCAGGTAGGCCAAGTGACTTTCCAACTTTCTCAATGGCTACAGCTGCAGCCCTCTGATGCCAATTAAGGGCTCAGGATGGGACCCATGGAGTTGGCCTGGCTAGCTGACTTGAGAGTCATGAATCATAGGTTTTTCCAGGGTAGAGTCTGTGACTCCTGGGGCATTTTGCCTTTCTGTTTCTGAGAGATTGATTCCCTTCCTTAGACAGTGAAGCCTTTGCTTTTTTCTCTTTGTATGTTCCTTCTATAGTGAAGGAAGTATGAAATGTATACAGTACAATTTACTTAGGTAAATTGGGTGAAAATTTACTTAGTAAATTGGGTGAATTAATTGGGTGAATGCTGTGAAGTTTTCAAATGTTATTGTATCCTGGTAACTACAACTATATTGATCCAGGAAATTGTCATTGTATTCTTTGTGTGATAAAGTTATGCACAGTGTTATTTCTCTCAATTAAATTGACATAGTTTAAGTTTTTCTGTGAACTGTAGCTGCCTGCAGGCATGAATCAACCAGACTCACCTGAAATGGGGCTGGGAATGAAAAGGGGATGGAGGGCCAAAAGAGATGAAGCCAAGACAAAGTTCTCTGATCAAGGCTCAATGCTTTAATGTTTAGCTCTCAATTTAAAGGGAAAGACCCCACTTGAACCCTTCCTTGTTTCAGCTAGAGATGGGTGGGATAATCCATTCTTGGTCACTGTCTTGGCTGGAGATATCTCAAGGCAAGCCCAGGGGCAGTCTTTCTTCTAAGTTCCATGCTGCCAATGTGGGTAACTCCACCTAGATCCTATCACTTGGTCTGATGTGGTAAACAAGGTCTCTCAGGCCTGCTCAAGGCTGAGGGAAGGGAACAATTCCCCCTTTTTAGTTTTTTAAAGATGAGCAGTTCCAGCAGCTGCATGGGGTACAAGATTTCATCCCATCTAGGGTAAAGTGTGGCTGGGCGTCTGAGCATGTCTTAGGTTGGCGTCTATATTGCTCCTTATATTACTTGTCCTTCAGCAAAACATACATAATATATTGATGTACACCTGTGCCTTAGGTTTATAGGTGCTCAAGAACACTCTTACCCGTCTTTGACTAACAGGCCATCATTGACACACTCTTTCCCATATAGACCAAAGCCATGTTCAGACCAAAGGACCTGTGAGCATACACTCGATGCAATTCTTCATAGTGATAGATATCTGTCATGATGAATTGCTGGGCTTGCTGAGAGTGATCCTGTGTGAGGGCAATCAATCTGCTTAAAATACAAGGTTCAAAGGTTAAAAGCAACATGATTATCCAAGCATTGCAGAAAATAAGGTTGTAAGCGTAAATGTTCCAGTGTTTAATCCAACTGCTGTTTTATTGGGATTAGGCATACCGTCTGGCCACCAGGTATATAGTGAGTGGCTTTAAGTATTGATGGAGACTACATGCTAGGTTAAATCAGCTGGCAGATAAGGATTTTGAGCCATCTTCATCATGAGAATCATAATTATTAGGGTCAAGATCTGTGTCCACTTGACTGACCAATCTTTCAGGCAGCCATTGGGCTCCATTTTCTTTTTCTGAAAAAATGAAGACCAAGCCATGACTCCAAATTAAAACAGGGTCTGGACCATTCCAGATGTTAGTTATGGGGTTTCTCCATTTGACCCTGGCAAATTGTGGGTCCGATATTGCACACAGGTTGTGGGCTGCGGCACAGGGTGCGGGCTCCGAGGCCGTCCAGGAAACAGCGGCTGCATTGGTGCAGGGCACGGGCAGGAGCAGGTG